AGAGACCTAAAATGATGGGAAAGAATAATGCATATTGTTTAGTGAAAATATGGATCATAATAACCAGTTCATATAAGTCTGTACACATATATGTTCAAATACATGCTTAATAGATAATGTGTGAAAAATTACTCACCATCAGGTATACAGTGGTTTTCTCTGGCAAACAAAATTTTGCCTTAGTCTTTTCTTTTTTGTGCTTGATTTAAAAATTGGCAACATTGACCAATTTTATCAAGGTAGTATCTTATACTATGATTTCTCTGTTTCTTAGATACCATTATGACCAAAATAAATTCTCTAGATTTTTGATACAGATAAATTAGGTGTCAGCAACTTCATCTTACTGTGAAAATTTTTAGGTCTCAAAGCCTGTGCGGGCTAGATAGTCCTGGTGCAATTCACTAGCATTATAAATTGGTGCATCACAGTTTTTCTCTCAGATTAAGCCATGGTGGATGAATGGGGTGACCAAGGCCCTGGCTTAACATAGCTTCTAAGGTGCTAAGTTCAAATTGCACAGAATCAGAAACCCAGGGGTTCTAATTCTCTTCTTTACTGTTGTAATTTCCAAGAGAATATCATGAGAGCGCGTGGTATTTTTTATCAGTTGGGGTACTTTTATTTGGAAGTAACAGAAAATGTAACTCAGAGTTGTTTAAACCAACAATCTCAGTTCATATACTTGTGAAAAAGATACAGGTTGGTTAAGACTTGTTCTGGGTCAGGCATCAGGGCTTTCTATTACTTTAATTTTCTCAGCTCTGTTCTTTTCTGTAAACCTTCAGATTGGTCACAGATGATAGTATCACCTGCTATTTTGCTCACAGCCAAAGGGAGAAAGCTTCTGCCTCATTTTTAGTGTTATGTAGTCCTAGCTCTCCCAAAATGCATAAGATTCCTGACCTCTAGTAGCCATTCAAGACAGAGGCTAAAACAGGACAATAAAGAATATACCTGACGCCCTTAAATAGGCTATTTTGCTCCCAATGACAAGCAACAGGTTACACTGGGGAAACAGCAAGAATATGGGCAAAGAATTCTGTGGCACAAGTGCACAGGGACAGCCAAAAACTGAGAGAGCAGCAGAAACATTGAGAGAAACTTTCCAGCACTTCAGTCACCATGCTAAACACCAGGTAACATTAGAAAAATAACATGAGGTGTTGGACTGAAGGTAACTATTCCAACAGCAGAATCCAATTCCAACCTTATTCCTGACCGGGTTTATTCAACACTTCCCCCTAACATCCTAGCACAACAAGTGTGCCAATTTCCAGGGAAATATACTATTTACTTCACTCTCTGCTTTTTGATAGATGTCATCTGGCATTCAATAAAAAAAAAAAAATTACAAGATAAAGAACGAACAACCATCTGCTAAGAGACATTAATCAATAAAACACACTTTAGAAAGAACCATATTTTTGAAAGGTCAGAGAATGTTATGTGCCTGGTTGATGTGATAAATGTTGATGTGAAAAGGGTGAACAATATTCATGAACAGATGGGGGATTTCAGTGGAAATTAATCGAATGGGAAGTTCTAGAAAAGAAAATGTTATCACAAAGGATGCTTCCTTTTGTTCTTCGACGCCCCTTGTCATAACGAGCGATCAAACTCCCAGTCTCCCAGTCGAACTCCAGAGGGGACACTTTGCATATTAGCCATATATATAGACTAGAGGCCCGGTGCATGAATTTGTGCAAGGGTGGGATCCCTCTAGGTGGCCTGTAGGGATTGGGCTGAAACCTGCAGTCCAATGCTGCCTGCAGTTCCTATCTGCCGCTCCCACTCATCCTGGCCCCACTGTGCCTGCTGCAGGCTCACACCCAATCAGTCCCAATTGGGAGAGACTAGCACTGCTGCTGTAGCAGCACTCGCCAGCCCTGAGCCCTGCATCTGGTGCCTTTCAAAGCAAAGTGGTCTGGGGAATTGGGCTGAAACCAGCTCTCTGACATCCCCCAAGGGGTCCCCGATTGTAAGAGGGCACAGGCCAGGCTGAGGGACCTCACTGGAGCACTATCGGGCCAGGGAGGGTCTGCAGGAGGGCTCCAAGGTGTGTCCGGCCCATCTCTCTCAGACCTGATCAGCCAAACCCCAGCAGCAACCTACCAGTCAGAGCATCTGCCCCCTGGTGGTCAGTGCACGTCATAGTGAACAGCTTTAGCATATCATTAGCATATTACACTTAAATTGGTTGGTTGTTCTGCCATTCAGTCTATTTGCATATTACCCTTTTATTATATAGGAGGATATCAGAAGTATGTAATGAAATGTCTAAAGCCGAACCCAAATTAGAAAACAATTCAGGATATTATATATGCACACATCACAATATTTTCTTAAAATTATCTGCAATGGAGGTGCTTTTGCTTGACATAACTAATACATTTTTTTAATTCAAGATTTTTCTCTATTTCAGCCTAATCAATGTTTGTATTGCCATTTTGTAAAATTTTAGCATATCTGAATGAAGAATTTCATTCAGCAAAACATGTCAAGAAATATTAGCAGCCTTTGGATTCGAGGAGGTAAAGGAATTAAACACTATTCTAAACTCCCCCTCCCTCCCTCCACTCCGGGCTTGCACAGTTTGGACCCTGAAGAATGAGACTTCCTACATGCTTAGCTACGCTCCTACACAGCTGTCATTACCAAATCTTCGCTTTTTTTCCTTTATGTGGCCGCATTTTTTAAAACCCGCAATTATTTTTCTCATAAGCTTTAAGAAATGAATAAAGCAAAAAAAGGAACCTCACAGTTAAGCGCCAGATACGGGACTCAATAGGAATCCTCTCTACTCAAAACGAGCCAACCGGTGGGAAGAGCGGTCCTGCGAGCTGCATTCTGGGAAACGTAGTTCGGTGGGAGGGGGGCGCGTGGAAACGAGGCACTTCCTCTCGGGGATTCTGGGAAGTGTAGTTCGGGAGCGGTGTGCAGCCTGAGGCACTTCCGCTCTCGGAAGGCGAGGTTGGGGCAGGCATTCTGGCAGTTGGGTGAGTTTACTCCGCGTCCGGGCGCTCCCTCCGGACCGTCTTTGCCTTGGCGCGGGGAGAGCAGGGACTCGGTCTTCCCTCCTGAGTAAGGGAGGCCGCGGCCAGCGGCGCAGGGCGGGCGTGGGGGCGGCGGCGGGAGCATCCGCTCAGCTGCGCCTCCCGAGTCGGGGGCGGGCTTCGTGGTCATTGGAGTTTGAGGGTCTCCCGCCCTCTGCTCCCCCAGGTCCTCCCTGCAGGCTCTGCCTCCTCCTCTCGGTGAAAAATTGGGCCAGTTCCTTGATCTCTCCTTGCCTCAGTTTCCTAACGGCAAAAAAAAAAGGGTTACTTCTTCCCAAAGGTGACCCAATGGACCCTTTCTAGGCTCTTGTGTAGGAAGGAGAGGGAGCTGCAGCCGGTCCTGGAGCAAGTCCTCTGCGGAAACAGTGGTGCAATTGGAGAGAAAAATAGGGTTAACAACATGCATCTGCATTGCAAGGAAACAGTTGAGACCTGTGGGAATCAAGTGAGGTTGTCTCTGTAAGAAGCTTAAAAATAGTGCGTCGTGCATGGCAAACTGTTGGCCGCTAACCGTACATTGGCTTGTGAAACTCAGAAAGGCGCCCTGCCATTCGGGAGATGCTGTGAGCCCGGGATGGAGCGGCGCTCAGTGGGGATGCCTGGATGGGGGCTGTTGTCTCTGCACCTGGGTCCTTTCTTTCTGGGCTCTGGTTTAGGAAGGAGAGGGAGCTGCAGCCGGTCCAAGAGCAGGTCCTCTGTGGAGTCAGTGGTGCGATTGGAGGGAAAAATAGGGTTAACAACATGCATCTGGATTGTAAGGCAGCAGTCTGGCCTCGGTTCTGCAGAGTGCCTCACCCACCACACGTGCGTCCGGACCTTAAGTGTGCCGTGTTGTGTAATAAGCCCCAGTTGTTGATTTAAATGCAACAGGATTCATTAGGCTTGGGCTTTTATTAGCCATTATTTACCTTCTTGCATATGGAGAAGAAACTCTGTCTAGACTCTTCCAGCTTCTTAACATTTGCAAGTAATTATACCTGTTAGGAGGAGAAAATCCGTGGCAATTTAACTGTCGTTACTAACAGAAGGAATTATCTGTGAGACAACCAGTCAGAATTAGATTTTTTTTCCAAGGGTAATGATAACTCATGGGACAGAACAATCATCTCTCTCTCTCTCTCTTTTAATATATTTTATTGATTTTTTTACAGAGAGGAAGAGAAAGGGATAGAGAACTAGAAACATCAATGAGAGAGAAACATCGACCAGCTGCCTCTTGCACACCCCCTACTGGGGATGTGCCCACAACCAAGGTACATGCCCTTGACTGGAATCGAACCTGGGACCTTTCGGTCCACAGGCCGACGCTCTGTCCACTGAGCCAAACCGGTTTCGGCAGAACAATCAGCTCTGAATTCTGGGTTTCTTAAAAGAATTATTTTCTGGAAAGTCACACTTTCTCCCTTTAAAAAAAAAAATCACATTCTCAAGGACAGTTTTTTGAATCCTAAACTACTTGTCTTTAGCTGCAAGAAACAGGGAATACTGGCGTTATTATCATCCCCACTTACAGAGAGACAAGTGACTTGCTCAAGATGGACGCTGCTGATGAGTAGAAAGTGATACGTAGACATGCCAGGATTTGAACCCAGGCGTTTGGGCCCCATTAAGTGATGCTGCCTGCCTGCCTGCCTTGCATTTCCTCTGATACCCAGGTTCAGGGACACTCTGGAAGCGACCAGCACTTGGGGTGGGACTGTTTTGAGTAGATAATGTTGATGGACAGTGGCAGCTGGCTGGGGCCCCTCGGGGAAGCTGGAGTCCCGCCCCTTTTCCCATTAAGCTTCCGGGTCACGGCCTGTGCCTAGTGAAGGGGCACCGCTTTGGGCTCCTGTGAGGTGCCCTGTGGACTGCCAGCATCCCTAGCGCCTCTCTCATGATGTCCTCCCTTCCCCGGTTTTGCCTTCCCAGAACTCTGTCTTTCCTCAAAAGGAAGAGGAGAAAATGATCAAGTTCCGGGTGAGTTGGGTCTGCTTTTCTCTTTCTTTCTTTCTTTCTTTCTTTCTTTCTTTCTTTCTTTCTTTCTTTCTTTCTTTCTTTCTTTCTTTCTTTCTTTCTTTCTTTCTTTCTTTCCTTCCTTCCTTCCTTCCTTCCTTCCTTCCTTCCTTCCTTCCTTCCTTCCTTCCTTCCTTCCTTCCTTTCTTCCTTCCTTCCTTCCTTCCTTTCTTTCTTTTAATATATTTTATTGATTTTTTTTACAGAGAGGAAGGGAGAGAGATAGAGAGTTGGAAACATCAGTGAGAGTCATCGATCAGCTGCCTCCTGCACACCCCCCCCTCACTGGGGATGTGCCCACAACTAAGGCACACGCCCCCGACTGGAATCGAACCTGGGACCCTTCAGTCTGCAGGCGACGCTCTATCCACTGAGCCAAACCGGTTTTGGCTGCCTTTCTGTTTCTTAAAACGACATCTCGTTTCACTAGGTCGGACACACATTTCTGCCTGGGAAGCTTAAAAGGGAACCAAAGGCACTTGACAAGTTGTCTGCCAGGCTCTTGCTTTCTGCTTATTTCCCACCTAGAGGCCCGGTGCACGAAATTCGTGTAGGGGGGGTATGTGTGTCCCCCAGCCCGGCCTGCACCCTCTCCAATCTGGACCCCTCGAGGGATGTCCGACTGTCTGTTTAGGATCAGGGCTAAATGGGCAGTTGGATATCCCTCTCACAATCCAGAACTGCTGGCTCCCAACTGCTCGCCTGCCTTCCTTCCTTCCTTCCTAATCCCTTCTGCCTGCTAGCCTGATCACCCCCTAATCACTCCCCTGCCAACCTGATTGATGCCTAACTGCTCCCCTGACAGCCTGTTTGCCCCTAGCTGACCTCCCCTGCAGGTCTGGTCACCCCTAACTGTCTCCCCTGTAGGCCTGGTCCCTCCCAACTGCCATCTTGTGTCCACTTGGGGGCAGAATCTTTGATAACATAGGGGCAGCTATCTTGATCTTGTATGTTGGAATAATGGTCAATCTACATATTACTCTTTTATTAGATAGGATAGAGGCCTGGTGCACGGGTGGGGACCAGCTGGTTTGCCCTGAAGGGTGTCCTGGATCAGAGTGGGGTTCCTTTGGGGCGTGGGGCAGCCTGGGTGAGGGGCCTGTGGTAGTTTGTAGGCCATCCAAGCTCCCTGGTGAACCAAGCGAATGCCCTGGTATCTGGGATTTATTTATCTTCTACATTTGAAACTTTGAATTCTTGAGCAGAGCCAAGCCTCCTGCACACTCCGTGACTGCAGCCATTTTTCTTCTATAATTGAAACTCTGTAGCCTGGAGTGGAGGCCAAGGCAGGCCAGGGCTGCAGAAGCTTGGCTTCCTCCATCGCTGGGGGCAACTCTAGCCTCCTGCTGTCTCCAGGTCTGTGGCTGTCGCCATTTTTGTTGGGATTTATTTATCTTCTATAATTGAAACTTTGTAGCTTTTCTTGTTTGAAAACAACTAAAATTCTTTTCTCTGAGTTCAGTATTATCTGGACGTGGTTGCATCAAGCCATACTCTAGACATTTTTTCCCACAAAATGTGAGGCACTATATATCAGAAAACAGTCCCTACTACTTTAAGGAGAGGAAAAAAAATGAATTCTCAGACCTTCTGTTTGGGAAGAAAGGTTTTATGTTGGAAAACTGACATTGCAAACAACTTTAAAATGGTAAAGTTTATAAACCACAAAAATAGAGGGGAAATATTAGGTGCAGACTAAAAGAGGCTACATACTAAACCTGACGAGCACAGGGGAGGACGCATGGCAGCCTTAAAAATCCAGAGACTGAAAGGAGCCACAAAGGATGGTCTCCCTAAAATTAAGGCCTTTTTTTTTTTTTTTTTTTTTTTTTTAAGTATGGTTTGTTTCTACTTTATTTTATTATTTTTAAATATATTTTTATACAGAGAGGAAGGGAGAGAGATAGAGAGTTAGAAACATCGATGAGAAAGAGTCATCGATCAGCTGCCTCTTGCACACCCCCTACTGGGGATATGCCCGCAACCAAGGTACATTCCCTTGACCGGAATCGAACCCAGGACCTTTCAGTCCCCAAGCCGACGCTCTATCCATTGAGCCAAACCGGTCCTGGCTAAAATTAAGGCCTTTTAACTAAAAGCAGTTTATGGCAGGTAGTCATGTCCTTCGCTAGTATCTCCAAAAGACAATCTTTACCTTAAATGAGCCTGCCTCCTGTCCTTTTGCATCTGCGATAACACACTTTGCGATGTCAAAGTGATTTCCTTTTTCCAGACCTCTCAAAGCACAAACTTTAATTCTGAGTTAAACCAGGTATGCATTATCCTTAAGTGTATGTTGTTTTTTTCATTGACATGTTAGCATATTTTAAAGAAATACATCCTTGGTCGAGCACCACCAGGGACTTGCCAGGCCTTTATTCTGTGGAATAGCTGTGTGAGGATATAGATAGTCTTGTTCGCATTTTATTTATTTATTTATTTATTTATTTATTTATTTAATATATTTCATTGATATTTTACAGAGAGGAAGGGAGAGGGATAGAGAGTTAGAAACATCGATCAGCTGCCTCCTGATGGTACTGCCCTGGGAGAGAAGGAGATAGGCACCATTACATACTGTGGGATCTAAATTAACTCAGTTTCCTACAGTATCTGGCACTGTCAGTCTGACTGTAAGACGTGTGCATGCCATGATTTAACAGTGACTGTTCTAGAGGCTTTATTTATTTATTTATAATTGATTTGAGAGAGAGAGAGAGAGAGAGAGAGAGAGAGATAACAACTTGCTGTTCCACTTCTTTATGCACTCATTGATTGATTCTTGTATGTGCCTTGACCAGGGATTGAACCTGCAACCTTGGGTTTTTGGGACGATGCTATAACCCCGTGGTTGGCAAACTACACCTCGCGAGCCACATGCGGCTCTTTGGCCCCTTGAGTGTGGCTCTTCCACAAAACACCACGGCCTGGACGAGTCTGTGTTGAAGAAGTGGCGTTAGAAGAAGTTTAAGTTTAAAAATGTGGCTCTCCAAAGAAACTCCAATCGTTGTCCTATTGCTTTTTGGCTCCGTTGGTAATGAGTTTGCCGACCGCGGCTCTAACCAACTGAGCTACCCGCCCGGGCTCCAGAGGCTTCATTAACGACGCAGAGGGCGCTGTGCTAAATGTGCACACCGTTTCCCACGTGTCTCGTTTCTTCCTCTCCCTCCCTCCATGGGTGATTGTGGAAGGGGAGGAGGAGAAACTACACAAATGAGGCATTCGGGTCCCTTAGAGTCACCTTCTCAGGGCTGCCCTCCCCCAGATGTGAAACAGAGGTTCCCTGTGTTCGGTGCCGTAGGAGGCGGTGACCTTCCAGGACGTGGCCGTGGTCTTCACGGAGGAGGAGCTGGGGCTGCTGGATGCTGCCCAGAGGAAGCTGTACCGGGACGTGACGCTGGAGAACTTCCGGAACCTGGTCTCCGTGGGTGAGGACGGGGCCCTGTGTAGTGTGGCTTCGTCCACTGAGCTGGGTTTCTCCATTGGCACTGTTGCCATGTGGGCTAGATAATTATGGTGGGGACCGTCCTGTGCATTTTATTTTTAAAACATATATTTTATTGATTTCTTACAGAGAGGAAGGGAGAGGGATAGAGAGCTAGAAACATCGATGAGAGAATCATCCATCAGCTGCCTCCCGCACACCCCCCACTGGGGATGTGCCCGCAACCAAGGTACATGCCCTTGACCGGAATCGAACCTGGGACCCGCCAGTCCCCAGGCCGACGCTCTATCTATCACCTGAGCCACACCGGTTTCGGCTGTCCTGTGCCTTTTAGGCTGTTTGCTAGCATCCCTGGCCTCTGCCCACCACGTCACGGCGTCGGCCCTGTGGAGACCAGAGTTTCCCAGTCTCTCTGGAACGTGGGGACAGGAGGTTCCCAGTCTCTGTTCCAAGGCGAACACTGGTCTTTTGTAAATTAACTGTGAATGACCAGTTGAGCTTGTCTGTACCTGGCTCTTATTTCACATGCCTTTTAAAAAAATCCTTACCAGAGGACATGTTTTTATTGATTTTGGAGAGAGAAGCAGCAAGAGGGAGAGAGAGGAGAGAAACACCGGTCGCACCCTCCCCACCCCGCATACACAATCTTGGTAACGCCCTGACCAGGAATCCAGTGGCATAGGATGATCTCCACCAGCCAGAGCTCATAGATCTTTCATTAAACCTGTGGGTCACGACCCATGGGTGAGCCATGAAATTAATTTAGTAAGTCGCATCAAATGTTTGATAAACACTGTTTTGGAAGAGAGATAGAGCCTTTTATCACAGGATTAGAACCCCAGTTTTTTTAGTACTTTTTACCTTCAATGTCCCACTTAAATCTCACCTTTCACAGGACACCGGTCCTCTAAACCAGCTGTGATCTCCCGGTTGGAGAGAGAGGAGGAGATACACACGCAGAGAGGTGGGCGTTCCGCGGAGAACTGTGCAGCCAGAGCCCTCGAAGGTAAGAGCCGTTAGTCCTCTCTCCTCTGGGTGCTCCGTTCTCCACAGCGACCGGAGAGACCCTGTGTTTTCAAACCACAGAAGGTAGCGCAGTCGGTTAGAGCATCGTCCGGAAACACCAAGGCTGCAGGTTCAATCCCAGGTCCGGGCATATATAAGAATCAACCAGTGAATGACTGAATGAGTGGAATAACAAACTGGTGTCTCTCTCTCTGTCTCAAGTCAATCAATAACAAACGAACATCAGTCACAGTATGTCTCTCCTCTCTCCACAGCCTCCCCTGGCTGTCCATCTCCCTCAGGACAATACCCACAGTTCTGGAGGGGCAGGGAGGCCCTGTGGTGTCGGCCTGCTCACCTGGCTGTGCCACTGCATCTTTCTCCTTTCATTTCCCTCCCCTGAGGCTGCCGCTGTACCTGTCCCGACATTTGGCGATGGTGCTTCTGCATCAGGATCTTTTCCTTTCTCTTCTCTGGCTGGGATGCTGCTTCCCCGTAAAACCCCACCACTCCCTTCCTCCTCCACGTCTGCTCAGGAGTCATTTCACCCAGACCTTCTGTGACTGCTCCACTGGCCGTGGCCGACCCTGGCCGGTGTGACCACGTTGGTTGAGCGTCGTCCTGACAGTTCGATTCCCAGTCAGGGCACGTACCCCAGTTGTTGGCTCGATCCCCAGGCTGGGAAGCAACCTATTGATGTCTCTCACACCGACGTTTCTCTCTCCCTCTCCCTTTCTGTCTCTCAAGTCAGTGAAGAAAAAAAAAATTATATATATATATATATATATATATATATATATATATAATTTTTTTAAATTATATTTTATTGATTTTGTACAGAGAGTAAGGGAGAGAGAGAGTTAGAAACATCAATGAGAGAGTGTCATCGATCAGCTGCCTCTCACACACCCCCCACTGGGGATATGCCCACAACCAAGGTACATGCCCCTGACCGGAATCGAACCTGGGTCCCTTCATTCCCCAAGCCGACGCTCTATCCACTGAGCCAAATCGGCTTCGGCAGTAAAAATATATTTTAAAAATAAAATACTGTCTTCCCTTTACTCTCCACATCTTTAACTCGCATTAATTTGAGTTTAAGCATTAAAACACTACCATACCTGTGTGTGTGTGTGTGTGTGTGTGTGTGTGTGTGTGTGGTGCTCAAATATACATAACATAAAATTTATCATTTTAAGTGTACAGTTCAATAGTATTAAGTACATTAATATTGTTATATAGAACTTTTCCCCAAATGGAATCACTGTACTCATTAAACAGTGACTCCCCATTCTCCCTCCTCCCTGTCCCAGTAACCACTGGTCTACTTTCCTTCTTTCTTCATATATTTGACTATCCCAAGTACCTCATTATAAGTGGAATCATATAGTATTTGTACTTTTAAAAAAAGATATTTTAATGATTTTTTTACAGAGAAGAAGGGAGAGGGATAGTCAGAAATATCGATGAGAAACATCGATCAGCTGCCTCCTGCACTCCCCCTACTGGGAATGTGACCACAACCAAGGTACATGTCCTTGACCGGAATTGAACCTGGGACCCTTCAGTCCGCAGGCCGGTGCTCTATCCACTGAGCCACACCGGTTAGGGCTGTACTTTTTTTTATTGTTCCTCCCATCCTTGCATTCATTGGCTGCTTCTTGTCTGTGCCCTGACCAGGGATTGAACCTGCAACCTTGGTGTATCAGATGGCGTTCTAACCAACTGAACTACCTGGCCAGAGCTAGTATTTGTACTACTTTTGGGTCTAGTTTATTTCATTTAGTGTAACATCTTCAGTATATTCATATCATGTTATAGCTTGTGTCTTAATTTCTTTTTTTTTAAGGCTAAATAATATTACATTGTATGCATATTCCATATTTTTCATCCATTGATGGACATTTGGGTTGTTTTGTCTAATATTCAGTTCCCAAGTATTTTATTCTTCTTGATGCTGTTATGAATGGAATTGTTTTCTTTTTTTAAATATATTTTATTGATTTTTTCACAGAGAGGGATAGAGAGTTAGAAACATCGATGAGAGAGAATCATCAATCAGCTGCCTCTTGCACACTCCCTACTGGGCATGTGCCTGCAACCAAGGTACATGCCCTTGACCGGAATCGAACCCGGGACCCTTCAGTCCACAGGCCGATGCTCTATTCACTGAGCCAAACCGGTTTTGGCTGGAATTGTTTTCTTAATTTCCTTCTGGTTATTATGAATAATGTTGCTGTAAGTAAGGGTGTTCAAATATCTGCTCAGATTCCTGCTTTCCTTTCTTTTGTGTATACACCCAGAGTAGTATTGCTGGGTCATATTTTTAATATGTAATTCTATTTTTAGTTTTTGAGGAACCTCCATTCTGTTTTCCTCAGGAGGTTAGGACTTCCTTCCCACCAGCAACGCACAAGGGTTCCAGTTTGCTGCATCCTCACCAATGCCGTCTCTTCTTCCCCTTCTCCCCGCCTCGCCTTTTTGTATATAGTAGCCATCTTAATGGGTGTGAAGTGGTAACTCGTTGTTTTGTTTTTCATTTATTTAATGATTCGTGATGTTGAGCATCTTTTCATGTGCCTATTGCTCATTAGTCTATTCAAGTCTGGTGCTCGTTTTTTTCCAATTACAACTTACACACAATATTATTTTGTATTAGTTTCAGGTGTATGGCATGGAGATCAGACAGTCATACATTTCACAAAGAATTCCTCCATATATTTTGCTCGTTTTTTTTTTTTTTAATTTTACTTTTTATTATTTTTTAAATATATCTTTATTGATTTCAGGGAGGAAGGGAAGAAGGGGGGAGAGAGAGAGAGAAACATCAATGATGAGAGATAGTCATTGATCAGCTGCCTCCTGCACGCTCCCCACTGGGGACTGAGCCTGCAACTTGGGCATGTGCCCTGCCCGGGGATGGAACCGTGACCTCCTGGTTCATCGGTTGATGCTCAGCCCTGAGCCATGCCGGGAAGGCAGGATGTATTTTTGCTGTG